CTCCTCGGGATTTCGCCTCTAGGCGAAATCCCTGTGGGGGTAATAACTATTGTATACAAAAAATCCTCAATGTTTATAATTTTTATAACTTGTTTTGGTATTGTATTTGTAAGCATGGCATCAGAATTTCACCCTTTCCTTCCTTTTTCTAACTGGACCCTTCTGTTATGTTGATTTCAGATGGACGTCTGGAGCTATGGTCTTGTTGTTCTAGAAATGGCAATAGGTACGCGACCAGATCGTAGCCAATTGTCTCAACAGATTCAACGGATAACTTGTCCAAAGCTTCAAGAACTGGTAATTGCCTGTACCGAGAGCGGGCCAGATAAACGGCCCTCCATGAAAAAAGTTGTTAAGGTCCTTAAAGAGAATTTCATTTAATAGTAACATTAGAAAGCTTGTGTAATGATGGCAAGAACATGCTTCACGCTCCCATAGTTCAGGCTGGTGATGTTAGCAATTATCAATGTCAACAAGCTCGGCAAAGAGCATCAAAACTGTCCAGGTTATACCCCAACCAAAGTGTCAGAGCCACTGCAGTCAACCTGTGTTAAAAGCTGGTACGCAAAAGCGCTGTAAATTATTAGTGATACTTGGTCATCGTGGTATACAAAATGTAAGCAGAGTTTGGCATGTCACACAATATGCAGTATCAACATCTAAGAAACAACACTGCAGCAAAGCTGTCAAGATGTCTATCGTGAAAAACCCTGTTCGTTTATCCACTAGTTGCAGTATGTTCCGCTTTTATATACTGAAATATACTGAATAGTTCCATGGAGGGGTGGAGGGTTTTAGTTTCTTAATAATTAAGAAGCTGTGGTGTTGTAATGATGAGAGAGCAAGGTAAGATTATATTGCCATTAGGCACATTTCAAACTTCACACTTTTTCGTATCAAACCTATTTGGGTCGACCCAAATGATAAGTTTGGCAGTTGATTCAGACATCCAACTAAATTTGTTGGAATTATTTAATTTTCATGATAAGCATGGTCTACAATGCTTACCAGTCAAAACAAATTCCAGTAATGTATGCAATAGATTTGAAAAATGAAAAGTTCAATGTTTGAACCAAGTCCCTCCACAGTCAAAATTCCCATGTAGGCCACTCAACCTTAATTCATGGGTTGACCTAAATTAGATATGTCAAACTTAATTGATTCAAATGTCAATGTTTCATGTACATCTGACCCTAGCTGTTCAAAAGGTGGATAGCTCTATCCACTGGATAAATAATATTAGTAAAATCCAACTACTGGTCTATTATCAATGCTGTGTTCTGATTGGTTGAGCTACTAGTAGGCTATATGTTATAGCCCACTAGTAGCGAAAAGCGCCAGATTTTTGGCGGCAAAAAAGGATTAAAGTCTTGCTTTAACTAGCTAAAGTTGTTTTGTCTCGATATTTTGGACCAACTAGCTGGATTTTACTCCCGCCCTCATGGCCTTTGAGTCAATAGCCCATGAGGCCTTGACTCAGGGCCCATTCTGGCTCGAGGAATAATAATATTGTTAACTATCCAGCAGATAACCATTAGGGTAATAGAGATTTTATGTTTTCTAATGGACAGATCCAATTGGAGCATGTACTTAATTGATGAGATTAGGTTCACTCCATGAAAATTTTGACATGTAAACTTTTATGGCCTCAATTTCTTGAACTATTTCCAAGTCAAATTTTCCCACACATAAATAGTCACCTGAAAAGCAGGTTTTACCTTTTTCAGATAAGAAGAAATAACATGAATAAAAATTAAAATTACATGAAATCACCTTTCAATTTCTTTAGTGTATGTGGGTGCTGCAGTGGTATACAAAATATACTGAGCAACTAAATTAGGACCTTTTAAATACTCACTGGTAGTTTATATTCACAAATGCTATCACCACATATACACTGAGAGCAAGTTTCAACAACATAGAATTTCTTAGTCTTAAACCAATAATCTACGTAAATTATGTAATCTGTTTAAAAGATTTACTTTTCGTCCCCTAGAAATTCTGCTAAGTACCTACGTGTACCATCCTGAAAGGGTTTGCTGTACTAGAGGTTTGCTTTTTGAGGGAAAAGGGAATTGATTTTCTGATTTTCTGCAGTATATCCCATGGTTATTTTGTTGTCATTTATAACCCACTCCAAATTTATTTTACAGTGTGTCAGTAATATACTTAAAAAATAATTATAAGTACATAAATTATTTATGTATCAGTAATATGCTCATAAATAACTGTAACTGATTTTAACTGATTTTTTAGACTGTCTTAGAAGGAAAGCATCAGCTTAGGTTTGATGCTTATCTAGATCAGGGGTATAGTCACCCTTGCCCAGTTTATATTTGTGACTAGTGTACGTTTTCGCGTGAGAGGTCACATTTGTTTAGCAACAGTGTTAGATTTTGCAACTATTATTACCTCAAGGGCTAGTGATAAAATTTAAGTGAAATTACTAGAGGCTAGTAAATAGTGTAATTTATATACAGGATATTAAAGTGTAAAAGTACTGTTTGTAGTAGTATATGAAGATTGGTAGGGAAACTCAAGGATACCTCTTACATATGCACTCATGATCAAGGTGAGTACAGGAAAAACACAGGACTAAGAAACTAAAGAACCTGTTAGGCTAAAATGTGCCTGTTAGGCCCCCTCTGTACAAGAACCTGTTTGGCCTAAAATTTGAAACACGTTCTTATTTTCTAAAATCTGTATAAAAAAATTCTGTACACTTGGGCAAAATAAGATAAGTCAATATTTAGGATCCTCTTTGGAGACATTGTATTTTATGCCAACTGCATGATAATACAATAAGGAATAATTAAGCTGGATACCACGAAATACTCTGAGCTACATGTATGTATTTTTCCTTTCAGAAAATAAGAACTTTTTTAAGAACCCAAATAGCTTAAAATTATTTGCACTAATTACCATAAGATTTATGTAAGAACCTGTCTAGGCTAACGTGGGAAAATGCAGGTTCTTAGTTGTGGGTTTTTACTGTGCTTGGAGCAGAGCAGTCCGATCAACTAAGAAAATTATTCCCTTCCACCCACCAATCTTTCTATCTATTTTAGTTTTATGACAGCTCTGTGTATTTTTTATTTTTGTTTATTAGTCCATTGTGGTGTACTGTCAGGTTATATGTACCGAGTGTTAGTTTTCCTTTATATTTTATTTTAAAATATGTATTAGTCTTCACAGTTATTAATAAAGGCTGTCTTAGTCCCAATCCTGTGTTTTGGATGTATGGTTTAGAAGGAAGTGAATTGGAAGTGAAGTACATTGTTATCATATCAAAGGTCATACAAAAATGTCTCTAATATAATGGCAGCCTCCAACACCAAGGGGGTACTCCGAATGTAAAGCGGCAGGGATGATAGAAGGTTTTTTTTTGGTAGGAAAATTTTCGCAAGTAATTTTTTGGGGTAGCATGATTTAAGTAGGGATTTTTGGGGTATTCAAAACAATCTGAAGATTTGTGATAGTTCCTGCATGCGCCCGGCCGCATAGTTTCGTGAATAAAGTAAACTGAAATTTTTATGGCTGGGAAATTTGGCGTGGGACTTTTGGGGGGTTAAAGTTTGGTCCAGGGATTTCATTGGGTTTTGTTTGAAGCAATAGGGAATATTTAGGGTTTTGATTTTTGCCCTCATTCGATCATCCCTGTCACTTGAAATGCAGAGAACGCCCCCTGGGCCCCAACATACTGTATTTTCTCGATTAAACGCCGGACCCCGATTAAACGCCGGCCTTGTGTAAACCCCGGGTCAAAACTGCCAATTTTTAAATAAACGCCGGGGGCGTTTGTTCGAGGTCCCGGCGTTTATTTGCGTTGAGCCAACAAGTACAGATATTCACTAGAAAAGCACAGAACGTAATGAGATTGTTGTCCACGAAGATTAGCCGATTAGAACACAAACATTATTGCGAACGTTTGTTGATACAAACATAAAGGACGTTGGCGACATTGCCGTTTTTAAACTTTAAACGTTTTGTTCTGTTTGCATAAATACTGATTACAATATACACATGCCGTATGTAATGCCGTATGTAATACCNACAAGTACAGATATTCACTAGAAAAGCACAGAACGTAATGAGATTGTTGTCCACGAAGATTAGCCGATTAGAACACAAACATTATTGCGAACGTTTGTTGATACAAACATAAAGGACGTTGGCGACATTGCCGTTTTTAAACTTTAAACGTTTTGTTCTGTTTGCATAAATACTGATTACAATATACACATGCCGTATGTAATGCCGTATGTAATACCGTGAGATACAGGGACATTATGTCAGGTCGGGTCCAAGGGAGAAATCGTCCCGCCTTGACAAACTGCGCACGGATCTCAAAGAATGTGAAATAATACATCAACCTAAAAATGATGAAAATTTTACTTTATTAATAAACGCCGGACCCCGATTAAACGCCTGCTTCAAATAAACGCTGGGTCCCTGAGGCCAAGTTTGAAATAAACGCCGGGGGCGTTTAATCGAGAAAATACGGTAGATGCTCTAGTAAATTTTTTATCTCATGTAATTTTTGCTTTTCTTTTGTTTTTGGTTATGGTAATGTATGCTAATGAAGTTGAAACAAAAGAAAAAGAAAAATTACCTAGGATAAAAAAATAGCTACAACATAGACATTCTCAAGGCAACAAAGTCCTAAGAATTTGCATAGGAGGCTATACATGTAAATGTTAAATTCATTTTGGTTGCTTTATAATTAAAAACTCTGCCATTGACATTTTGTGACCTACAATAAACACTGTTTTCTGCCTTAATAAGGTTACATGTACCAATATCATACCAACAGCTTGGCTATTCTGCCAGCAGGAAGGTTCTTGATCAGTAGTTACATGTAACTAATACCAAAGTCTGACCTATACTTTAGCCTTTCAAATAACAGAGTTACATGTGGTCTTGACACATCCTCTTTCCATAATGTGAGCTTCAAGTGATACAATTTTTATCCAAAAAATATCGTTTTGAATCATTCAATTTTATCTTCTCTCTAGCTTCTTGAATTTAGCTTCTGCAATAAAAACGGTAAATACCACCCTTATTAAGTTATAGGACAACACTACTTTGTGTTGAATACAAGGCTCATTAAATTGATTCAGATGCTGACCTTTATTTCGGCCAAACAAAATTCAAAAGGAAAAAAAATGCTCATTTTTCAACAATGAATACATTATGCATTAATTTGGTTTGGCTCATGTTTGAAGTTAGTGTCTAAATCAATGCTTGTTAAATAAACATTTCCAAGTTACATGGCGCATTTGATTTCACTTTCATGGAAAGCCTTTGTGATGTGCTATTGTTTTTGTGAATTAATAAAAACTCTCTCTTTTTGGCCCCCTGTCAAATGATTGTCAAATTGTATGTCTTGCACTTGTTTCCAGTTCCCCAAACAGGAAGCCATTATAATAAACATCTAAGTTATTAGCCAACAGGTTTTTAAAGCCAAAAATTGCAACCCATTTCAATCTTCTTCAGGTCTGTCCATCTGTGTCTCCTTTTCTAATTGTTGTGTTATTTATACCTTTTTTTTTAATGTTTGGTGGTAGTTCTCACTGTTTGAATTTTGATGCATTTTTTTAATGCTTAATAAAGTCTTCATTAACTAGGAATTTCAGACCATCAGCAAACCTGATGAAACAAAAAATTTTCAAATCTTACATAGTCCAAGATACAGCATGAACATCCTGAGCTATGTGAAAGGTTTGAGCATTTAGTTGCATATTAAGTACATGCAAAGTAATTCACATTATTACTGGTATTCCAAATATTGCAGTGCAGGTTTTCTTGATTGCAAAGTCATACACGACAATAGACTTAGTGTTTGTTCTTTAAAAATACAAACCTAATCTCTTGGAATACGCATCAAGTCTGTAAGCAGCTTGTTCAAGGCTGGCAACACTTTCTTCCACTTTGTCAATCTGCTCCAAATATGGCTCTAGACTTTTATCTTCATAGAAATATTACAAAAAATTAACATTAGCCATGGAAAACAATTTTTTTGTAGTAAAAAAGCATATTTCGAGTTAAAAATGTGAAAACTACAGCACAAACATTATTGTTATTACAGAATAATGTGTATATTTACAAACAATAGAACCCATCAATGCGACCATCTTTGGGCTGGAAAATCCAGGTCGTAATAATGAGTTGGTCGTATATACAGGGTTATCAAAATAACAATTTAAAAAAATGACTCAGTGCTTTTTACATTTGGGGGAAAAGAATATGGTCGTATTTATGAGGTGAAGCTGTTGGGTTAATGAGGTGGCTGTTTAAACAGGGTGGTTGTAAGGTAGGTTCTACTGTATAATAGTGAAGGAGATTTTGAAAAACCTTACTACAAAATAAAATTCCAACAGGCAACATGGCTTTAAAACAGCCAAATAAGACTAGACGAAACAGGGACACAATAATGACATAAAGATGGTTTGAATACTAACAACAAGGACATGGCCTACTTCACAAAACACAAAACAACCATATTTGAAATTCAGGCTAAGGACATATGTCCCCCCCCCCCCCCCTACTCCCCCTAGGAGAGTCTAATATTTGGATTGAGTTTGTTGTTGGTTCTTTCCTTTGCCTAGAAGTTTTTTTTCTTTTTGTTTTTGTTTTTGGTCCTCTCGTTTTGCTGGCCTCTCAAATTACGGCCATATGCACAATGTTGGTGACCACTTTTTTGTCAAAAATGGACTTACTATACATTTACTGTTACAGTTTCTCTAAACTCGTGTATAAAAACTTGATTTTTGGCCACGTTGCTTTGCAATCAAATTATGAGTATTACAGAGAGAACATACTTTCTGCATAAAGCTTTGATTTAAAGAAATTATTTTGCTGTTAACAAAATGTAGGGTAGTTAAAAGAAGCTATTTTGCCTTACTATTTACCAAAAATTATTAAGTTTCAATCTCACTTAACTCTACAATAAAACCATACAGATCAGAATAGACAAAGCTTTTCGAGATGCACATGTACCAAAGCTTCTCCTAGGCTTAAAATTTATTGCTGCATTTTTCAAGGTTACTAAATGAAAAACACCTTTTTAGCATTAGAACATACCATAATTTTTAATGCACCACATTGCCAATGCACAATACATAACAGTGCATAGAGGTTCAATTATTGTTCTTTGTCATTTGTGCATTGTGCCTTTTTCCTTAAGGCACAGTTTAAGCACAATAATCATTTAGGCTCAAAGAGAGAAACACGTTAACACCTTTAGAACAAAACACACTCGTAAATTCAACCCTTGAAGTTGAAAAATAAAGCTTCATTAATAGAAAACTGCCTTTCTTACAAGTTTAAATATCCATGTTTATTGTTATTCATTATTTCTCTTTTCAACACCATAGTTGTTTTCCGAAAATGATATATCAACGATACATCGTTTGATGAAGGCTCGACGAAAGCATGGGTAAAACTCGATGGCACCATGAAGACACAATCTATGCACCATCAATGAAATACAGGCTCGATGTATGTTTATTGGCTTCTTATGCACAATGCACGATGACAAAATTTGATCTATTTTGTTACGGCTGTGATCACCAACATGAACAAATCTTACACATATATACATACAGTTAACTCACATTTCTTATCCAGTTCCTCCATGGCTGTAATGAGAGTCTTGGCAGTGTTGGACATGTCACTGTACTTTGTGACTGTCATTTTATTCAATTTTTCTAGAAGAACGTAGTCCTCTAGAGAACCTGAAATTTGCAACAACAAAAAAAGGAGCCTTAAATACAGGGTTTGTACTTTTTCAAGTTCTTCAAATTCCATGACTTTCCATGACTTTTTCCATGACCATTTCTAGTTTTCCATGACCTTAGGTTTAGCTGTCACTTTTGAAAATTTTTAGAACTTTACTTGTTTTAGCATATTTTTGACTTAAAAAGTTAAACAGAAACAAGGCTGGTATCCACAAACTGCATGTCGTTCACGCTGATTAATTACTCCTCTTCATCTTATACTATCCTTGCTTTATCATCTGTAGTAACTACTCTACCAAACAAAACTTTAATTTTCCACGACTTTCAAGGACCGAAAATTAAATTCCATCACTTTCCAGGCCTTGAAAATGAAATTCTTAAATTCCATGCCTTGCCAGGTTTTCCATACCCTGCGAGCAGAGGCCCTTCGATCTTCCTAGATAAGTAGGAAGATCGAAGGGCCTCTGCTCGCAGGGTAGGTTTTCCACGACCTGTACCAAATCTGCTTTATCAAGTGTCAAGAAACTTGGTCAAATCAGTTTACAGTTGAATAATTTAAGACGCCAAGCATTCTAAATTGCTCGTTAAATTTTGCACCGTATAAAATAAACAAAAATATCTCATGCAACAAGCTTTATTCTACCATAGTTAATAGAGGGAATGGTTAAGAAACCCGACAAAGTTCTTTGTTGTATGTTTTTGTTCTCTTTTTTGGCCTTGACCCTGCACAAAACACAATAGTTGTTTACTCCGTACTGAGGAACTAACCAATAGAAACGTGCTGGTTACGTAATTCATGCATAACGTATGAACGCAAAACAAAAGATTGTGCAGGGTCGTGGACCTTCTAACATAAATCTTGGCATCTTTGTTTACTCCTTTGATGTTTGCCGGGCTTCATAACCAGTCACCTCCATTAACTATGATTCTACCTACCAGCCAGTTCCCCTTTCAAATACTCGGTTATCTTATCGAACGCCTCTCTACAACACTCTTTTAGAGACATCACTTCCCCATGGGGAACATTCGTTTTTTCCATTCCAACAGGTCCTTCTGACATGGACTTAGAAGAAGCATGTTCTGGATCTTTTGTTGTGTCCATATCACTGCTGATAACCTCGTGATGTTGTATCGAACTTGGCTGCACATTTTGCTCTGTGGTCTCCGCCATATTGGACTGAGTTTTATGCCCAGGCTCTACTCCAACTTTTGAGCACAGGCAGCCCAAGCTCTCTGCGTTGCGGTCCTAGATTTCCACCAGGACACTGAGTAATTTTGATTTTCAGTGGACAAAAATCTTGTATCAGAATAATTTAAAGCATATTGCATTCTTTCTTTCATTTTTCAAGGGCTAAAGATGTAATAAATCACCTGTAGTAACCCCCCAAAAAAGTGCTTATGGGAGCCCGAGAAAATGGATGTCAAATTTCATATAAATACATCTTACCCATGAAATTTTCAGAATTTTACCAGTGTACTCGCAGATGATTTATTACATCTTTATCCCTTGAAAAATGTAACAAAGAATGCAATATTGCTTAAATTATTCTGGTACAAGGTGTTTGTCCACTGAAATTAAAGTAACTCAATTTCCTGCGGAATTCCGTCTTAATTTTCCGTGGGTGTTATATTCGTCCAGGCGGTAATACTAAAAATGTAAAATAAATTCTGTGGGGAAACATACGGAATTTTTTTCTTGCAACAGATAATATTGGGGCAACGTAAAATGTAGACTGCGGACTATTGTTTTTAGGATTAAGCAAAATTTCAAGCAAAGTTTTCTTGTCTAGAAACATAGAACTCGAGCTTACAAAATACAGTTGAACCTTTACTCTCAGATAAGGCGATGATAACACAAAAATGGACGAGAGTAAAATCTAAAAATGGAACAGAATTGTAATCCCGGATTAGCGCTAATCAGCCTTTCAGGCACTGGGCACTGACTTAGGACCACTTGTCTGGGCTCCTATATTGTTGATCACAGCTACTATGCACTATTATGTTGTGGTTCAATTTTATCCTGGGTTTAAATTTTCTTTTGTTTCAAACTCATTATCACGTCATTATCATGCATTACCCTTGCCCAAAAACAAAGGAAAACAAAAGTTAAACAAGGGATAAAAATTAATTAAACCACTACATATAGATTGCACATGCATTTCGGGTATTCAATCGTGCCAGCAGCAGCCACTGAAACCAAAAATAAACTGAACAAAAAAATTAATATCCTTTGGGCGAGAAGCCAGTGAGCATTAGCAATAACAAAAATGGCCACCAGACTACTGGCCACTGTTAAGCATAAACATATTTCTCAGGGCTTTTCCCTTGGGATCTAAAGGAGACTTTGAGACCCCTGCTTATAGGAAAGCCTGCACAACAACTGTCTTGAGGATGCTCAGGTGAGATAGAAACAAATTTGCGCAAAAATAAACACTTCTGCTTTTCATGAAAACAGATATTTATTTCTAATAAGATATTATTCTCACTATAATTATGATAACAATTATTTAACTTTACTCTAGAGAATTGTTCCATTTATTCACTTGCATATCTACATATAGTTTATACGAAGGGTTTAGTTCTCCTGAGACCTACTGGGAAAACAAAACATACAAACTAAAGTCGTCAGGTCTATTAATTTTGAGACATTTCTCTTCTATCCCTTTCCAAGAATATATGACCATGGCTCTTGCCCTGTGGCAGGCAGCATTAACTGATAGTTAATGCCACCTGCCACAAGTAAATAATAAACTGACAATCAATTTCTATAAGACTATTATGAAACAACAATAGAAAAAAAACTTGATTTTATTAGATATTTCTTCTTTGCACCAACCAATTTTATGTCAAAGATACCTTGTTCTTTTTACAGGACATTTCCTATGAATAATATTATTTCTAATACCGTCGGTAACTTAAAAAAGAATACTCATGTCTAAGATGTACAAAGGCAAACTTTTTTTTAGAAAATAAAAGAAAGCCCATGACAGCTGTCCTTTGTAGACTTTGCCTAACCATCATGGTCCATCATGTAGCCAGACCCACACATGAAACTATTTCTCTTGAATTTTTATTATAAAGCTGTGTCAGGAGAACATGGAGCAATGAAGCATTTCCACTCTGAACTCTTGATCTTGTTTCTTAATCTGCAAGAGAAAACGACTCTTAAAATAATAGCAAAACGTGCCCGTTATATTTACAGAAGTCAAATACTGTGCATCCTTCACGCAAAATGTGGGGGGGGGGGG